ACAAGCGTCATAGGACTAGCAGAGGGCACCATTATCCGTTCCAGACTGCAAGCTCCTCAAAGGCAAGAATGATATCTGTATCACCTCCCTTCTGCTTCATCATCTGTAAAATGTTCTTTGTAGCTTTAACATTATGTGCTTTGGAAATTATAAGAGCAAATGAGCTAATCACAGACACTAAGATACAGAGCTGTAAAGAAATTTTTAAAAAGGGCTGGAGCAGTGGTCCCTGGGCTGAACCCTAAATGGTGCATCTGGACAGGGAAAGGAGGAAATGCTAGACAGGCATTTTCAGATCAATTACACAATTTGCAAAACACTGTAAGATAGGTAATTAGTCATCGATGCTTTCAGCTGAAAAAAGTGAGGCTGTGGGTCAGTTAATATTCCAAAGGCCACAGACTGGAGGAGCCTAAACTCAAACCCAGATCTATGATACTGAAACCCATGTATGGTACACAAGCAAAGCTGCAGACGGAGGGATTAACCTAGTGTTTGGACACAATTAAGAATGCTGATCTAGCTAGAATGGAGAATCTGTACAGGGGAGAGCCCTATAAAGGTTTCAAAGGTCAGGGTGAAGCCGGGAACAGGAAGAATGAATGTGAGGATGAGGACCTCATCACTTTTTACCCAATGAGTCCTATTTGGAAGCATTTCCTAAAAACTCTTCCCATCCTTTTCTCATCCTTTTCTCATTCCTTTCCACTAGCCCCTTAAATGCTGGTGCTTCCCAGAATTCTACTCTTGCCATTCTTACCTTCTTTTCTTATTCTCTTCCTAGGCGATCCCATCCAGTCTCTGGCTGCAACCTAAGTGCTGGTGTCTCCAAAATCTGCAACCCTGTTCCTCAATGTACTCCTGAACTCCAGCCTCTCATGTTTAGCAGCTCATGGAAAAGCTTCATCTGAAATCCCACAAAAGGCCATTTCCTTGCTAGATTCTTGTGTGGCCATGTGCTCTTTGAGCTATGGCTATTGCCATGTTTCTTGGTACTCCCTCCTGTAACTTGGGTAGGTGAATCCTCTCTCTCTCACTAATTTACTTTAAATAAATGATATTTTCTAACCTAAATAAAATAAAATAAAATAAATCCCACAAGAATGTAATTTTCCCTCCTCTGAAATCCAACTTATCTTTCTCCACAAACTTGTTCCTTTTTCTTAAATCTCTCTTAATGACAACAATGTGGCATGGACATGGAAAGATCAAGCTTAAGCTGCCCCTGGCACTCCACAACTATGAGATCTTGGGCAAATCAATGTTTCCAAGCCTGCTTAGTCACCTGTGAAAACTGTATGACAATACCTGTATCTGCCTACCTCACAAGGCTATTATAAGACCCTCAGCACGGAAAGCCTGTCATTTTTGACTGCTTTTCTTTACTCTACAACATCCAATCTGTTGTTCAAATCTCACCTCTTCATCACCATTGCCAAGCCTGGTTGAGGCTCTACGCCCTTTGCACAAACCCTATAACGGCCTCTTGACCAGTGTCAGGGTCTCAAGACATTTCTCATTATGAATTACACTGTGTTTTGAGTGTGTGTGTGTGTATGAATGTGAGAGAGAGAGAGAAGGGGGGGAGAGAGAGAGAGTGAGTGTGTGCGTGTGTGTGTGTGTGTGTGTGTGTGTGGTGAGTTCTCCTGAGAAGTCAAACTACAACACACACGACCCCAAAATGAGATTCTGGTACAAGCACCTGTACCTGCTCCCACCCCTCCTATACTCCCATCTTTGGGCTAAAAATGTGGGTAACAAGAAATGCTACCAGTGAATTTGTGTTACCCACAAAAATGATGTGAAGCAGTAAAACAGGTATGAACCACTGCTCAAAATCCACCCTTCAGCCGGGCTCGGTGGCTCAGCCTGTAATCCTGCGCCTTTGGGAGGCTGAGGTAAGTGGAATGCCTGAGCCTGCGGGTTCGAGACCCACCTGGGCAACTTGGCGAGACCTCATCTCTACAATAAATAAAAAAAATTAGCCAGGTGTGGTAGCGCACGCCTGTAGTTCCAGCTACTGGAAGGCTGAGGCGGAAGGATTGCCGGAGCCCAGCAGGGCGAGGCTGCGGGTGGCCGGGAGCGGCCACTGCACTCCAGTCTGGGTGACAGAGTAAGACTCCAACTCAAAAAAAAAAAAAAAAAAAAAATCACCCTCCACATTCCCACCAGTTATTCTCAGCAAAAGAACTGAGCACCATTTACCTGTTTATAAATCTTTGCAGCTTCAGCTGGGCTCGGTGGCTCAGCCTGTAATCCTGCACCTTTGGGAGGCTGAGGTGAGTGGATTGCCTGAGCCCGCGGGTTCGAGACCTGCCTGGGCAATTTGGTGAGACCTCATCTCTACAATAAATCAAAAATTAGCTGGGCATGGTAGCATGCGGCTGTAGTTCCAGCTACCTGGAAGGCTGAGGCGGAAGGATTGCTGGAGCCCAGCAGGTCGAGGCTGCAGTGGCTGGGAGTGGCCACTGCACTCCAGTCTGGGTGACGGAGTGAGACTCCAACTAAAAAAAAAAAGTTAGCCGGGCTCGGTGGCTCAGCCTGTAATCCCGCGCCTTTGGGAGGCTGAGGTGAGTGGATTGCCCGAGCCCGCGGGTTTGAGACCCTTTCTGGGCAACTTGGCGAGACCTCATCTCTACAAT